ATTATAAACATGCAGTATAGTTCAGATCATTTATCAGTATACACTACAGAACTTAGAGCAATATTGTTGGCTCTGCAATGGATAGAGGAAAATGGAAAACAAAACATAGTAATAGCCTCTGACAGTATTTCAGCACTCAGTAGTATTGCAAATGGTAAATCATCAAGCAGAACAGATATTAATAAAATTTCTGTAACTATGTACAGAATAGAACTTAAGGGTATAAAGATTCAGTTAATTTGGGTTCCAGCACATGTAGGTGTAGAAGGAAATGAAGTTACAGACACTCTAGCAAAACACGTTTTTAAAAAGGAATTCAATAGAACTTCAAGTCTCAAGTAAATCGGAAATTAAACCATTTATTAGGAAATATTCACAAACAGCATGGCAAGATTACTGGCTTTACAAGAAACTGGAAGACATTTACTGTATACAGTATACAAAAATATGTAGCAGGAGAGAGTACCAAAACTAAGACCAGACTTTTCAGAAGATGGGTGGCATGCACTGGGAAGAATATGGGCAAAAAGACTGATTGACCATGGAGTGATTCCAGTCAGGTTGTCCAAGGCATTCATTGTTGCCTCTCTACTTGGCCTTCACTCAGTTGAAGAGGAAGTGTTGATGTCATCATTTGCAAGGTATTTGTCTGACAGCGAGKGAATTACCATTGAAAAGMRCCTCYATGGTGTARTGGACYAGGATGACAAAGAAAATCTGTTGGATTTGTTTTCACGGATGGGTGCTCACAGCATTCCATCTCAGGAAAATGTAAAACCAGCAATCAAACTCATGGCTCATAAAGCCAAATTACAAGAACCAAAGTATATAATAGACTGCTTTTCCAAAACTCTAAAAGATGTGACATTAAATCTGCCAAACACAACCAATATCCTGCATTTACATGAGTCAGAGAAAGCAACAAACAAAAAAGTTGTTGACATGCTGCAAACANCACTCATCAGATAATACCTAAACAGAACAGTGAGGAAGACACTGCTTTTGGTTGAAATTTGTCAGATTTATAAAAGGTTTAAGAAGAGCTCCAGCTGGCGGGATGAAGGTTCAGGTTTTAGCTCAACAACAAGCCCTGGCATACTGCCAAAGCAACATATTAAATGTTTTTGACAAGGAGCTAAACTTCCACTGAGTAGTCTTTTTAAACCAATGGAAGCATCGTGTGTAAAGGTTAGTTTGCTTTACAAAGCATCAATGTTGTTATTAAAGTCTATATTTTTGGATTTTCGTTTTGTTTATTTCACATTTYCAAATTCTTAAACCTTCAGAAACAAAAGTGGACACATTTATTCAAACATTGCAAAAACAACAGCAAAAAACATTGCACTGTAAGTTGTTCTGGGTTCTAAGGCAACAAAAATCTTGCAAACAATGGTGGACATCAGGCACTGCAGTCATGACTGTCATCTCGGTTGTTAAAAAGGCACTGCAGACTGTGCTATCCTGTACAACTGTCGTGATGTTTTTGACTTTAAGCTCACCTCATTACAAAAAGATTAGCGTGCTTTGTTTGAGGGAGAACTGAACAGTGGAGGTCTCTAAATAAACATGATATGGAACATTTTCAGAAACATGATTCCTACTAAACTTCCTTACCTGATTACGCACCATGTCCTTGATTATGCAGATGGGTGTGTGGTCGAGTTTGGCAGGCATCACGGCAGGATTCTCAGTAGTCCTATAAACAAATCCTTTGTTTTGACCTTTACTAGAAGTTTCTGTCTGTTGACTTGTGCTGCTCCGCTGGTCCTCAACATCTGTCTGCTGCCAGTCTGAACCATCTGCAGACAAGTTAGACAACACAGGAAGAACTATTATCTTTTTAAATTATGGTATTAATATAATAATTAAACCTAGAATAGATCTATAGTAAACAAGTTTTTGAAATGTCAGATTGTTCCAATAAAAARCATTTTAAATCATCACCTTATTTAATGTTTGGATGCCGACTTACACGAGGAATCACAAGGATGAACATCTACATTTCAAGCCTTTTAAACGAGAAACAGTCCTAACTCAAATGTGCTCTTTTATTTTCTTAGATATCTTACAATGCCAAATAAATATCCGACAGTCAATGAATTTTCTCTTCCGATTTCTCAAAAAATTAGTCACTTTTCTAATTGAAAACTACCCAACAGTGACAAACTTGTGTTGCCACATCAAAATCCAAGATGGCTGCCACCATACATAAACTAACCACCTCAATCATTTGAGGAATCGTTGCTTTCTAATTTATACATTGCTTAAAAAGCTAATCTCCTCAAATGATTGAGGGGGTCGATGGGGTGGCCAAATATTAATTCATGATGGCCAAGGCCACCATTGGCCACCCCCTGGCTGCACCATTGGTGGTGGATAAAATTTATCCTTCCATTTGCCAGGATCCATCACTCTGTGCCACCTTGGACAAGCAAAAACAAAACCTCTTCACCGGTTCTTACACACCCAATAACTCCTACACCTCTTGCACAAAAACATCAAGGTTTATTTGCATTCTCTGTTCAATTTCAGCCCAGAGAACACCCATATCAAAACAYCAAACATTCACTTGAACAGTGAATGTTTGCTGTTTTGATACGAGTGTTTAACCCTCAACATAGGGTGCAGCTTGTTTAATCACCYGTGAACTATGGAAAGAAAGCTTAAAATGAAGCCCAAGTTATAATTTTGCCAGAGAAACTTCAACTCACCAGAATAACCAGAATCTCTGTCTGAGCTGCAGCARGAGCCTCTTCTGTTGGCTTCAGCCCCATTTTTACCGTCACATATTGCCAGTATAGTTGTGCTATTGCTCTTATCTTTAGCCGTCTTGCTGGARGGAGCACAGGGCCTGTTTTCACGAGGCGGACCCTTTGGCATGATGGCAGCCAAAAATGTATTTAAACTGCTTCTGGAAGAGAGAGATGAAAACACACCTGTGTTAACTTAGTGTTCAACCAGTGTTGTCCCCTGATCCATTAAATATAGAGGTACAATAGAAACTCTTAATTTTTAGTTTTTTGTTTTTCACTTTTTTATGTCTGCATATTTTGTCACAATTTTAGGTCTTCATGTTAGGCTCAATCAGGAGATGAGTGCTTTGGTTTATAATTTTTAAAATTAACTTTATTTATTAACATTTTCCCCTAAATAAATACATTGAGAGCTCTTCAATTCTCCAAAAACASTMTTTTMTTTWAAATCTGCTCTGGAAAACTCTCTTTTTTCTGTATACTTGGTGCTTCTTATTCTACTTTTAGCTTTTAGTTAACCTTATATTTATTTGGTATTTTGCTACTGTCAGTTTTTAGTTAGCCTTTTTACTTTAGGTTTTAGCTGTCCTTTTGTTACTATACCTTTTAGCTAGCCTTTTTTTTACATTTATCTGGCATTTTGCTGCTTTTGGACAGAATTTTTCACTTTTAGCTAGTCCTTTTTACCTTTATGTTTTAGCTAAACTTGTGCTACTTTTAGCTCGCCTTTGGATAAATTTAGCTTGTGTTTTGCAARGCTTTGCTTTAGTTAGCATTTTGTTACTTTAGCTTCTACATGTCAAATTGCTACCTTTAATACTGGCTATGTTGGAATTTGCATTTTATTATTCTGATGGTGTTTTTTTTTTTTTTTTTGTCTCTATGCAAATCCACAAAAGCACCTGCTCACACATTTGCCTTTGGGGTTGTAACTGTGGCAACTTGTGCTTGAAATCACTGCATCCCATCTAATAATAACTTACAAAATAACTGCATTTATATAAGCCGATCAGCACCAATTGGGTACAAAATAAAACAAAATAGTTCTAACTACAAGCTCAGGCAACATAGTGAAGCGTCTTGTTTATGACACAGAAGGAACAGGTAAAACCTTTAAATTGTGTTTTAAATCTGAAGCAGCAGATGGTCAAAATGTGTAACCAGCTCATTGTTTTTGTGCACGAGTTCACATGTGTACCCAGACTTATTTAAACAAAGTTAAATATGCATGCAATGCGGCCCATGTTGGCAACATGGGCGTAGAACCTGGCGCACGCAACTTTTTTATGTGTACGCACCGTTGATACATGAGGGCCCTCATGTATCAACGGTGCGTACACACAAAAACATTGCGTGCACCATTTTCCACGCAAAACTCCGGATGTATCAAAACTGAAATGAACGTGGAAATGTGTACACCCCCGTCCCTTTGATCTTTCTTCACAAGTGAGAGTAAATGAGAAATTGCTGAAGAAACCTTTCCAAAAATGAGGTCTGATAGTTATCAAACTGTCTGTATCGTTTCTCTAGGCAGACACGATGTTTTATTGACTTTGTGCAAACAACCAAAGAATGAATAAACATTAAATAACGCAAGAAAACTCATAAAACGTGGGTTGAAACTCATTGATGAGCCCACTGTCAGGAGC